TGTTAAAAAAAGGAAGGTTATACACTGCCTTATTTTGAGCCCCGAAAAAAAAAATGTCTCAGATAGCCGGAAAAAAAATTTCTTATAGAATGTGGCGTGTAGAATCCATAATTTCAAACAGTTCCAAGATTGGGCTACTAGTTCAAAAGTTACAGCCCTTTGAATTTTCTTTCGAAATTGGTTTCTAGTCCATAAACTTTTGATTGAGAAGTCCGATCGAAAAAGTACGAATTGTTTTGGATTCTACGCACCAAAATTAATAAGAAAAAGTGTTTTCCCGAGAAATTTTGATGCAGTCGATTTTTGGTAAAAAAAGAAGGTTATACACTGCCTTTTTTTGAGCCCCGAAGAAAAATTGTCTCTGATCGATCCGGAAAAAAAAGTTCTTATAGAATGTGGCCTGTAGAATCAATAATTTCAAACAGTTCCAAGATTGGGTACTAGTTCAAAAGTTACAGCCCTTTGAATTTTTTTTCGAAATTGGTTTCTAGTCTATAACTTTTGATTGAGAGGTCTAATCGAAAAAGTACGATTTGTTTTGGATTCCACGCACCAAAATTAATAAGAAAAAGTGTTTTCCCGAGAAATTTTGGTGCAGTCGATTTTTGGTAAAAAAAGGAAGGTTATATACACTGCCTTCTTTTGAGACCCGAAGAAAAAATTGTCTCAGACCGATCCGGAAAAAAAATTTTCTTATAGAATGTGGCCTGTAGAATCCATAATTTCAAACAGTTCCAAGATTGGGCTACTAGTTCAAAAGTTACAGCCCTTTGAATTTTCTTTTCAAATTGATATCTAGTCTATAAATTTTGATTGAAAAATCTAATCGAAAAAGTACAAATTGTTTTGGATTCTACGCACCAAAATTAATAAGAAAAAGTGTTTTCCCGAGAAATTTTGGTGTAGTCGATTTTTGGTAAAAAAGGAAGGTTAATACACTGCCTTTTTTTTGAGGCCCGCAAAAAAAAATTGTCTCAGATCGACCCGGAAAAAAAATTTACTTATAGAATGTGGCCTGTAGAATCCATAATTTCAAACAGTTCCAAGATTGGGCTACTAGTTCAAAAGTTACAGCCCTTTGAATTTTATTTCGAAATTGGTTTCTAGTCTATAACTTTTGATTGAGAAGTCTGATCGAAAAAGTACGAATTGTTTTGGATTCTACGCACCAAAATTAATAAGAGAAAGTGTTTTCCCAAGAAATTTTGGTGCAGTCGATTTTTGGTAAAAAAAAAGGAGGTTATACACTGCCTTTTTTTGAGCCCCGAAAAAAAAAATTGTCTCAGATCGACCCGGAAGAAAAATTTTCTTGTAGAATGTAGCCTGTAGAATCCATAATTTCAAACAGTTCCAAGATTGGGCTACTAGTTCAAAAGTTACAGCCCTTTGAATTTTCTTTCGTAGTTGGTTTCTAGTCCATAACTTTTGATTGAGAAGTCCGATCGAAAACGTACGAATTGTCTTGGATTCTACGCACCAAAATTAATAAGAAAAAGTGTTTTCCCGAGAAATTTTGGTGCAGTCGATTTTTGGTAAAAAAGGGAGGTTATACACTGCTTTTTTTTGAGCCCCGAAAAAAAAATTGTCTCAGATCGACCCGGAAAAAAAATTTTCTTATAGAATGTGGCCTGTAGAATCCACAGTTTCAAACAGTTCCAAGATTGGGCTACTAGTTCAAAAGTTACAGCCCTTTGAATTTACTGAAATTACTTATCTAAAAGACATCATAAACATTAAGGACGTTTTAATTAAAAACCAGCAAGATCTAATCACATCGTTAAAATCCCAACTCGAATTACTAGGTCTAACCGGGCAACCGTCCGTCCAGGGAAGCACAGGATAAGCAAGAGACATATCCCAAAAAAAAAACGATGTAAGGAGCCCGCTAAGGACACTCTCACATCAAGCAAAGCGTCGTACAGTAGCGTAACCAACAAAACGAACATCAACATTCACGGAAGTGCACCCAACACAAGCACAAGTCTCTGTGACAGAAATTTAACAAATAGCCACGACAAACAACAACTGACACCCCAACTAGCGGCAAGGCCCAAAACAAAGCAAGCGGTCAAGAAGTTACTTCAAACCAGTCCAAACCCACCGATGGCTTCACAGTAGTATCTCACAGAAAACCTAAAAACAAGAAAGCATCTGATACAGTTTTAGGCACCCGCGCTGATTGTGATATATCCGCGGTGGTAAGTAGGAGAAGCATCTTTATCTCGCGCCTTCATCCTGACACTCCTGTTTATCAACTTTCTAATTACATAGCAAACCAAAACATCACCGCGCTGTCGGTTGAAAAAATACAGACTCAATCAGATAGCATATCCGCTTTTAAAGTGGTCATCCCTATTACCGAAACCACCAATATTTTTAAGCCCGAGGTGTGGCCGAAATACACTATTATTCGCCCATACCGCCAACCACGAAATTTTACAGAAGCACTTCCGAATGCACCCCGGCCGTAGTATCGGATGACAGTAACTACACTACGAAGTTATCTATAGACATTCTCCACATTAATATCCGGTCACTATTTAATAAAGTAAATCACATTGAATTGATGTGCAATAATCACAATTTCAACGTATTCTGCTTTAGCAGGCTACACAGGTTACACAAATATGGCTAATTTCTACCGAACTAAGCGAAGTGGAGGGGGCAGCTCCATTTTCGTTCGAGACGATCTTGCCATCCACTGTAAACTATTGAAATGCGTAAGTAGTATTGCTACTGAAGATGTTCTTGAATGCTGTGGAGTATCAATTCACAATAAAATATGTATCATCGCGATATACCGCCCCTGCAGCTCAACTCTCGAAAACCTGAGGTTATTTTTCCGTAAACTCAACGAGCTCTTAAATATCTTACATAGAAGGTTTCAACACATCTATATCTGTGGCGATCTTAACATCAACCAACTAGGTGTGGATAAAAGCTGGATCGATATTCTTCTTGCTCACTCACTAATTAGAGAAACTACACGTGTGCAGCAACTAACACAAGCAGCCCATTTATCTGTCTCTGCAATTGACTACATTTTAACAAATTCATACGATTCAATCCTGCAAAAAGACAATTTTGAAGTTGGCTTCTCCGACCATTACGCTCAATCAATTAAAGTCAACATAGCGTTACACAAAGCACTAGATCTCAAGATCCCGGTGACAAACACAATAAAAACAGTAAGGAAGCTCCAGTCACAACGGAATCTAAATGAATTTATACGGTTATATAGTAATAACATCATACATTCCTATGAACACCTCCACTGCCCTAACGACTGATTCAACACCTCCTTTGACACCTTCCTGTGGTGTTTTGAATGTGCCTATCCAAAGAACTATGCAGTTAAACCAAGCCAAGCATTACCGTTCCTTAATTCGCAATTTTTCGGGACAGCTCAAGAAAGTCACAGTGATTTACGTCTGATTATGAACTGGAAAATGGAAGGCAGAAGGTCAACCTGGGAAGAGATATCTCGATTGTAATACCAAATTAGCATCTCATTGGCACGGAACTTCGTGGACTAGAATTTTATTTTTCCTCTAAATGAAAAATAATGATTTTACCAACCAAAGTAATTACCTACACGTAGAACACCAAGCAAAAATTCAAATTTTGGAAAATGTAAACTTTTGACATTTGCTATGATTCCTCTAAGGGTTATCTCACAATACTTCTCCGTCCAGCAACGCCGATGCAAACTATGCAGTTAAGAAGAATTTTGCGGTTATACTTGTCAATAATTTACAGGTTTACTCCAAAAACGTCTAAAAGCACTTCTTAGAAAGTTGGTTTATTCACATCCACAATATCGCTATAAACCTTAACTCAAGCAATGATCTTTGGTTTAGGTTAAATTTCCCTGTTTATATTTTCACTCAATGTCTCAATAACTGCAATACTGAATTGTCCATTTTCCACTCCTTAAGATCTATGCGCTTCCCTCGTATGCACTGATTATATCGAAGACCGCAAAGTTTCCTTGTAGGTGGTGGTTTTGCTAAATTAAGCAAGCGATAAATAAAGGGCCAAACCACAGAAATCATTTACGGTGTGAAGTGGAATTGAGAACCAAAGACCTTGTACTTCCAATGGATTATGTAGAAAGATAAAGTCAAGATTGAATTAGTTACTTACGTTGCTAACATAATCATTCTTGAAAGTTTTCCGTTTATCTTTCGCATTTGCGGGAAAAATGTAATACCCTTATGTGTTCCTTTGATTAAAAGAGCACAGTACTTGGCGATAGAGCCGAGAGATTTCCAAACTTTAAGAGAATTTCAAAGTTGTTAATGGTGTTATAACAGTATCATCAAACTGCATCCGCCTTCATTTTTGTGGTTGAGAAGTACCTACCAGTGTTTTTAAATTCATACAAATAATTAATATATTGTGATTCAAATTGACTTCTGCTGTCGTGGATAGAAAATATGCGTGTTATTAGTGGATTTCCATTCCAAAAACAACTCAAACAAAAAATTTAAATTAAACGTTTAATTCGCAAATTTCAAAACAAGTATTAACGATGTAGTTTTTTGCATATTTGTATTGCGAGGCTAACTTTATGCTTAACTTCAAAAGCAAACACATTCACCTTTCGCGAGCAGACCCCAACTTTCACGCGTTGCGTTTTATTTTATAAAATTTAGGGATTTAATTAAAATTTTCGTAAAAGGGGATCATGCAACAGATTAAAAAAACATCGTTTCTTCCTATTGGCGAATTTTAAGAGAAACAGAAGAATTAAACTCGTTCAGCCAAGAAGGGTAGGTTGTGTTCCTGTTTTAACATTCTATACAAAAGCGGAAAGGTAAGGCGATAAATTTTCCGAAATAAACTGCCGTTGCAACAACAGCACACATGCTGCAATGTGTCTAAACTACTACAACCCCTAAATTAATCGATAATTCAACGGAGGTTCTCGAGGAGATCTGTTTACATTCCGTTTACCTGTGCACATTTCGTGAAATTAGAAAGCTCGAGGCACTTACCTTTCACTGCGTTAAGTTTGTTTCCGACCATTTGTTTCGCCACGAACGCCGCCATTTTGTCGGTTTATCTGTAAAGAAAAAAAAAACTGTTTAATATTACGAAGTGCAGTCGCAAGACACGGGAATAATAAACTGAAGGCAAAAACCGGTACATGCACATATATAACAATTTGGCGTCATATTGTTCAGAAAACAGCGAGCGTCGGACGTTCTGGCGCCATGTGACGTTAGCCTAGTTTCTATAAGTCTGAAACTCGCGAGCTGAAAGCTTTTCCTATGGATCATTTGAAAGAGCCTGTAGGTACAATGAGGGTTGAAACAACGTTCCGACGTTAGGTATACGTTATATTTACAAAGAAAAATTTCTTCGTTTCTTGCACGCTCCCTCTGACGCTTTTTTCGTTCGTGGTTCGTTCGGCTCGATTATATCAAATCAATTTAACGTAATTCTTTGTAACTGCTTCGTAAATCTTTAAACGCGTGATCGACATAGCACCCCATTAAAACTTCGGATTAAAACCAAGAATGTACTGAGCAGACACCCAACTACTGTAATTTGGGATTGAATTTCTTTTAGTTTATTTGTCTGATATTATTGTACATTCACCTATTTTTTGGCGATTGTTATAGCCAGCACAATTTTCGGTATGTTTTTACTTGCTTTACAAGTTTTCGAGTTGTTCCAGCCATTGGAGTGGAACCGTTCTGTATGGCCAAATAATAATTGTACTTTTGAGTACCTAAAACTTTTAGTTGCCTAAAAAACTTCGCAAATTGTCAAGTCACCAAAGTCGTTCACCAAAAAAAAATCGGGTTCGCAAAAGGTAGGAGTCGTTATTCCTGCCTTATGGACAATAGCAATAGGATTCAGGACTGCCAGTGGCGAAAAGTGCGACATTTAGATGATATTTTGCGTAGATGAATTTCCCACGAGGGGATTTTTAATATCTAAATGACGATTTTTGACAAAAATTTGAAATAAATGTGTTTGGGACCGTACTATGCAGTAAACAATTAAAGAGACTTTCATAAAATGAGGGAGTTGTCCATATAATGTTGTAGTGAACCTAAACAAGGTTGGGTGGATGTTATTCATGCTGAAATAATACCGAAGATAATAACAGATCACCCGGTATATGAGAATTAATTAATTTAATTATTAAAATCTAGAGGGTTTCATAACGAATAAGCACATAATTGGTTTATTTCATAGAAATTTGGCATTTTAGTGTTTTTTTTTCCATTTTAGAATTGTTTTAATTGCATAAGTTTTGTTTAAATTTTATCATTAGTGTAAATTTGTTTTTTTATTGTAAGAACATCTGGTCGTGTGCGATAAGGACGTTGTTATCGCGTAAGTTAAATTATTTCAAAACGCACGTGTGTTTGACGCTGAAAAAAGGAGTAGATGCACATTTTTTTAGTTTAATTATAATAAATAATAATAGGTTTTTAATTTATATTGTATTGGTGGATGATTTTTGTCCATGTCTGTGAAAAAAAATGACGTGTGAAAATAGGTACAAATCACCAATAAAGCATACATACATGCATACATATGGAAGAAGTGTTTCTTATTGGCGTGACATTTGAAATTGACGAAAGTAGAAGTATGATAGTTTAGTGGAAGTTGTAAGGTAATTAAGAAATTTTTAATTTTTATTGATAGCGGTCTCTGGCGAGTTTTTGTAAGGGTTGTAAACCAGATTATTGTTTCGATTATGTGCAATAATAAAAGAAATGTTGACCTTCAAGCTTGATTTCGAGACTATCAATTGCTCGGAACTTGGTGACTAGGTTCAAGACGGGTAGTGTTTTACGTGGTCACAATATTTTTGGCGACTGTGACAGGACAATTTTTGCTGATGTTTCGCGAACTAACTGTGGGAGAAGTTAGAATGCTATTGGGTTTATAGGAGGGCAGTATATCGATTTTTTTATTGATACCCTGAAAAAGAAACGCGGAATTTTAGGAGCAAGTTTTACCAAATTTGGGAGATGTTGCAACAGAAGGGGGAAGCATTGAAGAGTTGTCCAATCTTCTCCTGCAGGATATTGCAGTTACAGAAGAGAATCTGCTGATTGAAATTGACACCATGAGTATCGTAAGCGGTTCACTAAGTTGTGGATGATGTGTCAAGGCGTTCGACAGAATCCAGAAGTAAAGATGCTGTTAGTCAAGAAAAAAATGAGCAGTGTTCGGTTGTGGGTCGCAGTTAGGCAAGTCGGCGAATATTTAAACAACTCAAATGGAAGCAATTTAGTGGGGACATTCACAACTGACTAGAAAGTTACCTTGCTGTTTGGGGAATCGGTTCTCTTTAAGAAATTAGATTAAATTTTATCGGAAGTAATCAGAAAATAAAAGATTCGATCTGTCGAATCGAGTGCACGGAGCAAAGTAGTATCGTATTTAATAACTAGGTCCAAAGAACATTATGTTAGAAATCATGTGAATAGGAGAGGTTTTTATAGTCAGCTAATCCATACAGTAAAGTGCTTACGTTCTCTATGCATTCCAAATGTTTCCTAAAAGTCCTACCCCCTAGGGGGTAACACTTAGGGATTTAAAAAAAAATGTTTGGCAGAGGGCAACAAAACAACTATTTTTTCCAAAGGACTGAAGAACCAGAAACTTTCGTTTTTCTCTGACACATAGGACAATACAATTTCTACACCCTAATCGGGAGTGCAAAATTCTGATCACAACGAAATTTGGTATGTTTGAAAGATGAAACTATAACGAGACTAAGCTTAGTTTCAAAAAATATCAAGGGTAACTTAGATTCTAAAGAATTCCAATGCACATAATAAGAAAGAAAACACTTCTATTAACTACTAGAAACGCAATTTACCCAAGAAACAGAAAAAACACGCAGTAAGTATGGCGGTGCCTTTTGGGCCAGTAAATGACCAAAAACTATGAACTTGGTTAAATTTTTTCGGAAGAAAACCGGTTAAGTAAAATGGAAACGACGTTTGTGTTATTCGCTTGTACACAATTACACTTCCATCTTGACCTAAGTCATTAAAATTTACGGAAGAAACACACGTGATATTAGTCGTATAATAAAGCATACAAATATATAAAAGGAGAAAAGATCAATAAAGAAGTGGAGAAAGTCAAGAATTAATTGAAGAGAGATCGGCGGAAAAGAACAATAAGATAGATCGTCGTCTTCATACAATTCATGAAAATAGAATTACAAACAGGGATTTATAAAGTTCAGGCACGACAAAAAATCAGTAGACTTTGAAAAGGCAGAGAAGTAGCATTTTTAGCTCCTCATTAATTCTCCTGTATTTATTTTGTTTATCTTCCATTGAGGTCTTTTGTCAAAAGAAGTAAAAGTAAGGATTATGAATGAGTGACAACTTAATTACAAAAGAAAGTGCCTTCGAAAAGCAAAAAGAATTGAAAAAGAAAGTTGGATTACCTCAAGTAGAATTTGTTTACTTATGATATTACGGGAACGTCTTGAACCCATTGATATTTCAAGCATGGTCAATAAATTGACTTGTTCAGCTTTAGTTTAGGGAGGCGAGCATTAATTGTTAACATTATTGCGATAACGATGGGAAGACGTCATAATTTAACATCACCAAGTAAACCAAAGACTAAATTTACATAAACGCCTCACAAATTGGGATAACAATTAAGATTACAAGGGGTCGAGAGAAGCGAAAAGCAATCAATTTTACTTACGCAATTTGGTTAGTTAGGCTAAGGGCTTATAATACTTCTTTTTTTCCTCGAAACTTCGCCTGAAGCCCTAATCCCCTCATTCGAAATACGAGAATTGTTTGATAGGATATTCCATTTCGTTTTTAAATTACGGACCCAAAGGAATTCATAATTAGTATAATTCTCGATTCGATCCGGCATTCGCATTGAATGCACCCCAATTACAAGGTAATTGGCGAAGTCAATGAATGATTTATTAGTTGTGGGGAATATAACCCCTCATTGAAGACCGTAACCCAACCTTGCACGTGAAAGAGTTTAGCGTAATCTGTAACCATTTCGTTTAATGTATACATTAACCTCTCTCATTATGCTCTGTGCTATATTTTTTATTTGAATTAGGTTTTCTCTCAGCAGACATTTGGGCTTGCCGAGATGTAGATAAAAATTTTCCTTCATTGTACAGAACACCATTACTAAAATGTGCATGAAAAAGAATTAGGGCTAAAAATGTAACAAAGGCGGGAAAAGGTTTTGATTTTATCATTTAAGGCTTAATGACCAATTAAACTAATAAACATCTGTGTTTATCCTAAGTTAAATTATCGTTCAAATGAAAGAATGAAATAGTACACACACAAAAAACTATAGCGATTTATCTTGTGCGAATCTTGTCCGAAAAATTGAAGCACAACTTACTCGAAGTGTCAACAGTAAATGCAAAAAGCCCGTAAACAACTTCCCCTTGATAACTTCGACTCTCTTTTGTGTTAATAAGAGTTTGTAATATGACTAAAACTATTTCCCAAACCAATTTAATAAACAAAGCTCAAAGTATTCTTGCATATTAAATTCCAAAGTAAAATTTACCTCCAAAATGCTATACGCGAATATTTTAATGCATTGAAATTTGTATTCATCCGATCGCTTTTCATATTATAAACAAAAAGTTTCCCAGAATACTTCATTAATTTGTTAAAAAATTGAAACGGGAGTCGGGATGGTATTATTTAACACAAAGAGCATGAAATAATATCCGTACGAAATATTAGCCCTAACAAAGGCAAACGAAACAAAAATAGGTAACTTTGGCCAACAATAATAACGCGGATTGAGATACAAACAATTTTAGTAAAGGTAATTATTTAATCATTTAGGAGGTAGCTGTTATTCCATTAATAATGATTTTAAGTTAGTCCGCGTAGAATAAATGTGTGTTAAAGCTTTAAAAGCTCCGTCAATATTAGTTATAAAATTGTATATCGGTCGTTTGCCTCCTTGTATAATTCTGTATTTGGTCAAATAAAAATAAGACATTTACATATTGACATTGAATTTTTCAAATAAAGTGGGCTTTTATATTACATGGGGTTGGAATCAAAA